TAAATGTTAAATGAAGCTGTTGACCTGATCGAAATCCTTGGACATCAGATAACGGTTTCCCTCACTTGCCTAATGCTAGGTTTACACAATCACCGGATGGAGCGTTTATTTTTAAACGAAAAATGATTATCAAGCCGTTAACAAGCATACAGCAGTAGCGAGTGAGATGCGCTTATGTAAAGGATGAGAGACGTCACTGCTTGAGAAACACTGCTCTAATGACAATGAAAAAAAAAAAAAAAAAATAATGGAGGAAAGACGGAGGCAAACGTGGACGGGTGACACGACGACACTCCTATGCAACAATACTGCTTGCCAGAAAGACAGTCTGCATTCACAATCCGTACTGAGACAAAGCATAGCCTTACACACCTCCGCGAAATCCACGATGAAATAAAACAGCTCTCAAACAAAAAGTAAACAACACGCAATATCAAATTCAATTATATTCAACATAACAAGTTCAGAGAACTGCGATATGTATAAACAGCGCTTTAGCTAATTGAAATCCGCAGTAATATCGAGAGAAGCAAAAATGATGGAAAAGAACCGCTGGAAACGGATGATTCGACGAAAATGGTTGGGACTGCATGAAGCTTACCATCACAGAGGAAACCCAGGCAACAATGCACCAACCTTACCGGTTAAATAATGCGATTTTGCACCAAACATAAAGCAGTCAGATCGCCAAAAGTATGGCCGCTACTTCACAGTTTATCATGTGCACTCATGTTGGCTGCATTTTGGTTTTTTTCTGCATGCGGCAGGAGAGGGGAAAGGCAGTGACTGGGATCACGGGGCTGAGTGAAATATTAATCTCCGGCATACTCGATTACTAAGAACAGTGCATGAAGGAAAATGAAAAATCTGCTGATTACCGGTTGTTCTATGAAAATGCAAATCGGACAATGTACAGGATGTCGAGAGGGAAGGATGGTGAAATACGAGCAAAATGCACTCGTTTTTGAGGTTGAGACGGAAATATTTCTGACTCACTGTTTTCAAAAATTTTCCTCATGCATTTTCGACAGTCCACGATATGGTGAAATACTGCTTTCGCAATTTCTCGCATGCCAATTCGATGAACATACAAAGATTACTCGCTATATACAGTCACTGTCTAATGGGCGCAGAGAAGGCGATAGAGAAAACCAAAAAATGAACGCAATCAAATTTCAATAAATATTACAAATTCGAGAAATATTCTCAAAATCCGTACTTACAGTTAATATTTACAATATGTTCTAAACTTCCAACTCCTACCCTTGTTCGTTCACTTTTTGCTATCTTTTTACTAGCAAAAGAAGAAATGAAAAACTAGTACAAGTTATGCAGTAGGAGCACAATCACGCACAATAATCATCACAACTACTCTGACGCTTATCACTATTATCACTGAGACTATCCAAAAATAGGAGAACATTTTAGGTGCACCAGTGGCAATACTTTTTCTAACTCCTGCATCCTACAGTTCAAGAATATTGTTCGGTTGGTAATGATGCACAGTCAGGCTGATTCTCCGAAAAACCATGATCCAACTGGCAATAATTCTCCTTCCACTGCTCGTGTAATAAATAGTGCAACAAACTGAAAAGCAACGTTTAAAAACAATAAGGCAGCAACTCAAATACACATCTTACACCCTATAGCAGAGGCGAAATGCTAAATATGCTGTACAGTCCCAAGATGAAGAACCCAGAGTAAACAGCTACATAATTTTACAAAATATAGAGCGCAATCAATATTCTCAGGATGTCGAACTGGAAGTGCCATGACAACTTTTTTAACCGATGTGCTGAAAGCAGTGACATACGGATGCGAAACGCTTTTCAAACTATCCATTGACTGAGGGTTAAGATGAGCACAAACAGCTCAGGTCCGCATCCCGCTTATTTATTAAATGAATGCACTAAAAACTTGACACTCAAAAATGTAGACTTTAACAACCACACGGATCATCAACTGCTATTTCATTCTAACTTCACGCCAGTGCCACAGGGTTGCTGTGAACGAGGCGGCATAACCAGACCTCCAGCTTACTGATAACCTCGATATTCGTTTTCATGTTTTCTTTTTTCGCTTTTCAGAGGACTGTTAGGCATGCCACGTTATTATTCGCATATGCTAAACAGTACTTACATTTGTACACAGAAAACGATGAACTGCAAAACGGAAGCTACGAAGAAGGCAAAACCCGGCCACGTGCTAATTGTTGCATTGAATATGTTGTTAAATATAAGTGCTGCTAAAACTGGATATAACATCTGAAAATTTTTATTCCTGAAGATGGCATTAACGACACTGCATGTCTGTATTGCAGAAAATTTAATACGTACTGGAATTCCAACACTCATTTTGGCCTTTTAAAAACAACAGAATTGTTAAAATACTAATACCATAATGATGCTGAAGAAACTAAACAGCCTTGCCGTCTCTTCCTTAGTGACAAGACGTGAGAAGAACGAACGATATCCGGGCGAAATTGCACCAGCAAAGAATGCAAAACTGCCAGCTAAATGAGTGAAATGAGAAAGAAAAAAAAAAAAAACCACATAATCAAGAACAGAAGCATCATTGGCAGATTCGGAAATTTAGATAAGCATTTTGTTTTTAAAAAAATCAGACTGCCTGACTGCTTGTCAAAGCGACACAGGACAGATGGATGTAAAATCTGAAGCCCGGGCAGTTCCTATCACTCGCCATAACTACTCTCCATAAAATTATCGTTCTCTGCAGAAGACCTGCAGCGTC